CAATCTGGCATTACCTAGTAAATTTGAAGATGTTCATATCTAACCATATGGTAATTTCACTTCCAAATATATGCCCTAGAGAAACTCCTGTCCATGAGAAGCAGGAATCTTGTACAAATATACAAATGTGTAAATAGCATTGTTTACAATACAAAACTTGACACATAATGAGGATAGTATTTCACAGTAGAATAAACAAATGCATTATAATTATATATACAATGAAATACTATACAGCAGTGAAAAGAAACAGGTGAATCTTAAGAAATAATATTGAGTGATAAAAGTCCCAGAAAAATAAATTCCTAATGACTCTACTTATACAAAGTTCAAGAGCCTGTGAAATTAAATATATATTGTTTAGACTATAAACATGTAGTAAAATTATAAAGAAAAGGAATGAGTGAAGAGAGGTTCTTCTGGAGGTGAGGAAAGGGGTAAATCAGTGAGACATGGCCCAAGTGCTGGTGGGGGTGCAAGTGGGTAAGACCTCCTCTCTGCTGCAGGCCAGAGAGAGAACCGCAGATTGCCGTGTGCCTCTGGAGGGCAAAGGCAAGGGAGAAAAGGAAAAGAACTGAGGATTCTGCACCACAATAACTTTCCTACTTTATTTTTGTGTTGAGCTGAAGTTGCCAAAATCATAACATGGAAATTAGAACCATCTGTTGACAGGATAAGTTAGTGAACTGGACAGAATTTACCAAGAGAAATTCAGAATAATGTATTTTAGAATCTGTGTCAAATCACAGAAAAATATAAATAAAGCCTATTTTATTTGGGAGGGGAAAATAATGCCATTTTATCATTGTTTACAATAGCAAAAATACAGAAATAACCTAAATGACCTTTATGATAATATTGGTTAAATAAAATAGCATACATTAACACTGTGGTATACTATTACAGTTGTTGCAAAAAATTAAACAGACCAGAACAAGAAAAGTGAAGCAATGGAATAGAATACAGTTGTTAAACAGATACTATTTAGTGCAGGTTAAAGAGTCATTTCAAAGTGGTGGAGAAAAATGGACTGGTCAGTGGATGTTGAGACAACTGGCTGCCCATTGCCCTTATCTAAAACCATTTGCAAATACTTTAAATGCACATGGATTACAGAACAATTAAAATATGGGCAAATATGTTCTATAAACTTAGCATAAGAAAAGCCACCTTAAAAACACAAAACCCAAAAGCTATGAAGATAAAGGGAAATAAATATGACTAAATAAAACATAAAACTCCTACAAAGACATCATTAAGAAAGTTGAAAGACAGTTCACAGGCTGAAAGATAATTGCAACATAAATGGCAGAGAAAGAATCATATATATATATATATATATATATATATATATAGAGAGAGAGAGAGAGAGAGAGAGAGAATCCATTTAAATGAAAAAAAAAGGTTAAAAAACAGGCAATCCATAAAAGAGGAAATAGAAATATCAATATGTGGATATATGCAAATTATGCCTACTATATAATGCAACTTTTAACCCAAGTGATAAAAACGTAAGGTTGACAGCATCAAGTGTTGGTGAGGGCGTGAGTGAATGGTGGGGTGTGAATTGATACTGATATTATAAAGGGCTACTTGGCTGTACGAATTATGATGAAAATGGGCACAAATTATGATTCAGGGAATCCATTTCTAGGAACACACCCTAAAGAAACACCTATGTGCACAAGGTTATTCATCAAAGCATTATTTGTAACAGTGAAAACTATAAAACATCAAAATGTCATCAGCAGAGGAATAATCTATAATAGCCAGGCATTGCAGGAGTTTAAAAAAATATAGCAAATCTCTAACATATTGACATACACTGAAGGACAGCCAAGAGATATTCTTAAGTTAAGGAAAGCTTTAGAAAAATGCAGAATAATGTTTTAAAACAAAGTCAATTCTACATATTTGTAACGGTACATGTATGTATGCAATACACAGAAAGGTATGGGAGGTAACCACCAAACTGGTAATAGTTCACTCTGGGGAGGGGACTGTCTTGGGGTAAGGGACAGTCAAGATTTTGACTTTATCTATATTTGAATTTTTTAAAATTAAGAGTATATTCACTTATATAATTTTAAAATAAATGTTTATAAAAATAATTATGATACAAAAAGTATAAACTGTATAACGGGGGCATGGGCAAAGTCCTCTGGGAACACAGTGAGAGGAGAAACTAGTTTAGCATGCAGAAAAATTTTATAGCAGTCACTACTGCACATTTTCATTGCGTCTAGCTATTCAAAAAGGATTTTGTCAAGAATGTATAACTTGATGGAAGATTGTGGCAGATTATATCTTCCAAAGATGACTATACCAACATATGTCTCATCCAATATGCTTCTCTGTCAATGTGACATTGACACTCCTCCATGGAGAAGTTGGGGGGGGTCTATGTCCCCACCCCCTTAAACTTGGGCAGAACTTTGTGATTGCCTTGATGAACAGAATGAGGTAGAAGTATTACAGCATGACTTCTGAGATTATTCAACTTATGTCTGGTCTTTTCTTTCACAAAATACTCATCCTTGAAACACAGCCACCATGCTGTCAGGAAGCCCAAACTAGCCTACATGGAAAGATCACATGAAGAGGCTTATGTGGAGAGGAACTGAGGCCCCCAGCCGACAGCCAGCATGAACTGCTATACACTTGAGTGAGCAAGCCTTTAGATGATTCCTGCCCCAGCCTTTGTGTTCCCTGGCTAAGGCCAGATATGCATCATGGAACAGACAAACCATTCCCACTGTGCTCTATCCTAATTCCTGACCCAGCGAATCCTTGAGCAGAATAAATTGTGATTGTGCCACAAAGTTTCAGGGCACTGTGTTACACAGTCAAAGTAACTGGAACAAAGATATTCTAGAGAGAAGAAAGTATACAAGTAATGGAATGTCACAGGGCATTGTGAGTCCTGGCATTTTTGGTGATGAAGTTCATGGTCTGGCTGAGACCAGACTATGAAAAGTACTTGCCTGGTACTATTTTAAAAATTAGACTTATCCTATCGCCAGTGGAGAACTGTTGAAAGTGTTTAAGCTGGGAAGTCAAATGCTAAGATCTACATTTTAGCAAGATATCTCTGAGACTCCTGTAAAGGAAAGACTGCAGAAATGAATGATTTACAAATAGAAAACACCCCTCTGATCAAGATGGGTCCCAGCCAAGTAAAATGGTGGGATCACTTCACCTCCCCACCCAGCTACATGTTTTTGACTTTTTCCTGTTTAGGCTTGCTTCTTATGCTCATTTATACTCAATTTCACTTAAATTAAATATTAGGAAGGAAAACTTTTGTCCACACAAAAACCTGTCACAGATGTTAAGCTTTATTCATAATTGCCAAAACTGCAACCAAGATATCCTTCAGCAGGTGGACGGATAAATAAACTATGTTACATTCTGTTCAGCACTAAAAAGAAAAGAGCTATCAAGCCATGAAAAGACATGGAGGAACCCTGAATGTCAATTACCACGTTAAAAAACAATCATACATATCATCTGATTCCAACTATATGGCGTTCTGGAAAAGGAAAAACCATGGAGACAGTAAAAAGATCACTGGTTGTTAGGGGTTAGCGGGAGGGAAGGATGAACAGACAGAACACAGAGGATTTTTAGGGTAGTGAAACTGCTATTTCTGATACTATCATGGTGGATACACATCATTTTACGTTTATCCAAACCCGCAGAATGTATAACACCAACAGTGAACCCCAGTGTAAACCATGGACTTCCGATGATTATATGGCAATGGAAGTGCATTGATTGTACCAAATGCACCACTCTGGTGAGGAATAGGGGGCACGTGGGAATTCTTTACTTTTTGCTTAGATTTGCTATGGACCTAAAACTGCTCTAAAAAAGGAAGTCTATTTTTAAAATTTTAGGAGAAAAAAATGTTAGGGGGTGTCAGAATATAGAAACATTTTCCTTAATGCTCTTCTCTCAAGCTTCTGGATCTAAATCTGTTTAAGAATACAAAGCAAGCCGTCCAAAAATTACAACCACTTGTAACTAATTATCCATGTGACTAATACCATTCTTATACAAATATCACTGTAATACCCAATTTCTTGTTTTTGTGTTTACTAAAATATCCTCATTGTTCTCACAACTGGCTTTGCAAGAAAACTCTATAAACATGAATTTGGAAAAGAAAATAAACCTACACTAATAAACTATAGCACTTATACATATTGGATATTATAGATCTATATAAGGAGAAATTTGAGATGCATGGTCCAAGAAGAGTGAGAAGATATAACTCAAAACATAAGAAGCCACCTCTGTGATAAGGGAAAAGATGCCTGGATGAACATAAAACCTAAGATGTATAAGGCGATGAAAGATACAAATGAGAACGTTTCATTCTCGTGTTGGCGGAAGATCTTCCATTCTACTTTCTGGGAAAATCAAGAGGGAGAATGCATTGAAAATTGAAAGTTCATGGAGAATAGAGACAGGGTGCAGTGACTCAACAGTGAGTCAATCAGATCCTCAAGGATCCAGAGTAGCTGCATAGCCCAGTTGGAACTCAATCGTGTAATTTATTGGAGGCCAGTTTTGTATACATTTTATACTGTGCCTTTCTCTAATGTTAATTATTCAAGAGACGATGAACCAATTTGTGGCTACTGTGCAACTTGCCTCTTCATGTTTTCATTTAATGCCTGCTTTTGCAAGAGGTTACAATTTAAATTCTTTATAAAAATTGAACTAAAGTTAATTTTCTGCTTTTTAAAGCTACTCGTAAAAGATTTAAGGCTTGTGGTCAATTTTTTAAACAAACAGTGAAAAAGGAAAAAGTAAAACAGAAAGAGAAAACACTGAAACAAATGGTAAAACAAGATTATAGGACCGTGTTGTGGGTTGAATTTATCCATGCTAGCCCTGTCCCTCATTTAACAAAGTTAAACAGAAGCCAACTGTTGCTGTATTTCATGAAATAAAATATGATAAATAAAATTCCTATTCCTTAACCAATTTACCTGCACCCAAAAGGGTACAAACTTCTGCTGTTTCTGACAAGCACGTGACTGGAGAGACAATGGAAGGAGGTGCTGCTGGTAGAAGCTGCTTTGGCTCATCATCAGAAAACAGCATCAGGTCCTGACAGAAAACACAAGAACATGAGAATTGAAAAAAAAAAATCAATATCCTGGATGGACAATGTATGGAGCTACAAAGTATCTAATGTGCTAACATCACCATAAAACATTTCTGATTTAATTAACTCAAACATACATCACTTGGCTGTCTACTGGGTGTAGGGAGGTTTTCCACCCTTGGGAATCACCACGACTTGCTGAAGACACCCTGTATAGATAGCAAGGGTTTTGTTTAGGGGATTACCTTTACCTACCACCCTTTAGCATCCTTAAAACAGACTATCTCAGAGGCCAATTATTTTGTCTCATTGGTGGTAATAAAGCCACTTGTATGTATCTTTTATTCATATTTAAAACTTTAAACTTTTTATCATCAAGTAAAAAGTAGACACAATAGATAATCCAATCATGTAGGTTAAATAATAATCAAATCATGGCTAATCCTGTTTCATTTATATCCCTACCGTGCCTCATTTGTGATCTGTGACAACCTGTTTCACTTTGAAGCAAATCCTAGAATAATCCCTTATTTCAGTATGTGTCTCTGCTTTAGTCCATGCTGTTGTTATAACAAAATACCATCAGCTGAGTGGTTTATAAACAACAGAAATTTATTTCCTACAGTTTTGGAGGATAGCAAGTCCAAGATCAAGGTGCTGGCAGATTCGATGTCTGGCGAGGATGCACCTCCTAGACAGTCATTTTTTCACTAGAACCTCTCATGGCAGAAGATGACCAAGGAGCTCTCTTGGCCTCTTTTATCAGGGTACTAATTATATTCATGAGGGCTCTGCCCTTATGACCTAATCACCTTCCAAAGGTCCTCCTCCTGATACCATCACTTTTGGGGGTAGGATTTCAACAAAGAATTTTGGAGGGAAACAAGTATTCAGATGATAGCAATCTCTAACTGATAAATGACTGCATCGAACTGATAAACTTTACAGCTCCTAATGTCATCAGTTATCATAAACTGTTCATATTTCCAACTTCTCCTAAATGTCATAAACAGGTTTTTCTACAGCTTGTTTGAAAATGGATCCAAACCAAGTCTATAGAGTGGGATTAGTTGGTATGTCTTTTTATTTTCCCAGCAACTAGGGATAATTTTTCTCCATTATAATGAACATACAGCAAAATGCGCAAACCTTAAATGTAGAGCTCCATAACTTTTATCATATGAGTATACCTATATAACCACATTTCCTTCACCCCAGAAAGTTCCCTGAAGTTCTTTTCCAGCTGATACCATCCCACAACCCTGCCTCATGACCACTATTCTATCCCTATAGCCATTAATGAGTTTTGCCTGTTCTTGGATTTCATATGAATGTAATCATACACCATGTACAGTTTTATGTCTGGTTCCTATTGCTCAACATAATGTACATGAGATTCATCTATGTTTTGCTGTGTAGTTCAATTCTCCCTTCCTACCTGTAAGAAAGGAGGGAGAGACTACACAGCAAAATGTGTGAATGTATCACAATTTGTTGATCCATTCTCCTACATATGGATTACTTCCAAAGTGAATCTATTATGAATAAAGCTACTATGAACGTTCTTGTATAAATCTTGGACAAATGCACTCATTATTCCGAGATACTACATAGTAGTAATATAGAATTTCTAGGTTATAAGACAGGTCTATTTTAACTTCATCAGAAACCACCAAACCATTTTCCAAAGTGATTTGCCCCTTTTAAAAACTCAACTTTGAGCTCATTTTAGACCTACATGTAAGAAATAATAGAGCCTATGTAGCCTTTACTGTGTTCCCTCCAAAGGTAACATCTTGCAAAATTATAGTACAATATCATACTCAGGATATTGACATTGAAATAGTCAAGATACAGAACATTTCTATTACCATCACAAGAATCCTTTCTGATGCTCTTTCATAGACATACACTCCCTTAACAGAATTAATCTGTTCCTAATCTGTCCTTCATTTCTATAGCAGTGACATTTGAAGAATGTTATATAAATGGAATCATAACCTTTTGGGACTGGCTTTTTTAGCCTTGCATAATTCCTAGAGATTCATCCAAATTGTTTCATTGCAATCGTTTCTTCCTTTTCATTGCTGAGTAGCACCCTTGATATAGATGTATCATAGTTTAACCTGTTAAAGGACCTCTGGGTTGTTTCTAGATTTTGGCTATTACAAACAAAGCTGCTGTGAACATTTATGTACAGGTTTTTGTATGATATACATTTTCTTTTTCTTTTTGAGACAGAGTCTCAGTCTGTTGCCCAGGCTGGAGTGCAGTGGAACCATCTTGGCTCAATGCAGTCTCAACTTCCCAGGCTGAAGTGATTCTCCCACTTCAGCCTCCCAAGTAGCTGAGACTACAGGTATGCCCCACCATGCCTAATTTTTTTTTTTTTTTTTCTGTAGAAATGATGTTTAGCCATGTTGCCCAGGCTGGTCTTGAACTCCTGAGCTCAAACAATCCACCCAACCTTGGCATCCCTAAGTGCTGGGATTATAGGCATGCACCGCTGTGCCAGCCTAAATTTTCATGTCTCTAGTATAAATACCTAGGAGAGCAGTTGCTGTTTATACAGTAGTCACATTTAGATTAAAAACTACCAAACTGTTTTCCAGAGTAGCTGTATCATTTTGCATTTCTTCCAGTAATATATTAGTGTTTTAGTTTCTCCATATCTTCACCAGCATTTGGTGTTGTCACTATTTTTTTATTTTAGCCATTTTGATATTCATTCCATGTTTAAATTACATTTTCCTAAAGGCTAATACTGTCGAAGAACTTTTCGTGCACTTACTTACCATCTGTATTTGGTGAAATGACTATTCATGACATGTTCCCATTTTCTAATCGGACTGTTTGGTTTTAAAGTGCTGAGTTTTAACAGTTCTTTGAATGCTCCAGATATTACTCCTTTGCAAGATATGAGGTTTGCAAATATTGTTTCCCAGTCTGTAGATTATCTGTCCATCCTCTTAACAGGGTCTTTTGTAGAGCAAAAGTTTTCAGTTTCGATGAGGTCTGATGTATCATATCTCTCCTTTTAGGGATCTTGCTTGTCCAGTTCTAAGGTTTAGGTATAAACTGAAATATTTAGTCATCAAAATACTGAAGCGTTTTAATATCTTGTCCAAATGTCTTGTCCAAATGGTTTTGTCTTTAGTTTCCACATGTTCATTGTTAGTATGTAGACATTCTATTGATCTCTGTATGCTTTTTTATATTGTTGGATTCAACTGACTAATATTTTGTTGAGAATTTTTGCATCTAGTTTCATGAGAGATATTGGTCTGTAGTTTTCTTTTTTTGTACTGTCCTTGCTTAAACTTGGTATCAGGGTAATATCTGCCTCATAAAATGAATTGGTCCATTTTCTGGAAGACATTGTGTAAAATGGCTGTTGATTCTTTTTTTATTTTTTGAGACAGGGTCTCACTCTGTCACCCAGGTTGGAAGTACAGTGGCAAAATCACAACTCTCACTTCAGCTTCAAACTCCTGGGTTCAAGTGATCTTCTCAGCCTCCCAAGTAACTTGGACTACAGGTGTGTGCCACCGTACCTGGCTATCTTTTTTTTTTTTTTTTGTAGAGATGGGGTCTCTCTAGGTTGCCCAGGCTAATTTTTCTCTAAATGTTTGGTAGAATTCTCTAGTAAAACCCATCTGGGTCTGGAAATTTCCTTTTCAACAGACTTATGCTTCAAATTCAACTTTTAAAATGATTATAGAGCCATTAAGTTTGGGTAGTTTATGTTTTCTGAGAAAGTATGCTATTTCTTTTGAATTGTCAAGTTTATAAAGTTTTTTTTTTTTTTTTGAGACAGAGTCTCACTCACTCTGTAGCCCAGGTTGCCTCCCAGATTCAAACAATTCTCATGCCTCAGCCTCTTGAGTAGCTGAGACTACAGGCATGCACCACCAAGCCTGGCTAATTTTTGTATTTTGTAGTTTTTGTAGACACATGGTTTCACCATGTTGGCCAGGCTGGTCTTGAACTCCCGGCCTCAAATGATCTGCCTGCGTCAGCCTCCCAAAGTGCTGGGATTATGGGCATGTCTGGCCCATAAGTATAAAGTTGTTGGTAGTAATCCCTTCCTATCCTTTTAGAGCTGAAGCAATTGTAGTGGTGACCTCTTCTCATCCTGATACTGGTGATTTGTCTCTTCTCTATCTTTGTCAGTCTTTCTAGAGGTTTATCAACTCTTACTGTTTTTTAAATTATTTTTTATTACTTTTACTTATTTATTATTTTTTTCAAAGAACTGGCTTTTTGTTTCATTCATTTTTCTGTTTTTCTGTTTTCAGTTTCATTAATTTCTGTTCTTTATGATTTCCTTTCTTCTATTCCTTGCGCATTTATTTCGCTTTTCTGAGTTTCCTGAGGAACTCAGATTATTGATTTCAAACTTTTTCTCTTTTCTATTGTAGGCATTAAAATTTTTTTTTTAATTTTAAACGTTTACATTATAAATGTAAGTGCTGTAAATTTCCCACTCACCACCACTTTAGCTGTATTTCACATTTTGCTCATGTTGAGTGAACCTTAATGTAAACTGGACTTTGGGTGATTATGATGTCTTTATGTAGATTCATTGATTGTAAAAAATTTGACACTCTGGCATAGGATGTTGATGGGGTGGGAAGGATGTACTTGTAGGAAAGGCAGAGGACATAAGGGGAAATCTGTCTACCTTCCACTCAACTTTGCTATGAACCTAATGTGGCTCTAAAAAAAATAGCCTGTTAAAAAAATAAAAAGACCACAGTGACTTTTTTTAAAAATTTTGAGGGAGAGTCTTGCTCTGCTGCCTAGGTTGGAGTACAGCGGTGAAATCTTGGCTCAAGCTGTCCTCCCAACTCAACCTCCCTGGTGGCTGGGACTATAGGCACATGCCACCAAGACCAACTAATTTTTTTTTTTTTTGGTAGGGCCTTGAGCAGTCTTCCTGTCTTGGCCTTCCAAAGTGTTGGAAATTACAGGCGTGAGCTTCTATGTCCAGCCCAGGGTA